GTGGATTCCCGGATCGCATGTTGGTGTTTTGATTCAAAGAAGATACAGTTCTACTGGCAGGAAAGGAAAACCGACGCGCACTGCAGAACAAAGAGGAAGAGCAGCTGTGTATGTAATCTCTCAAGATCGACGTAAGGCGTTAGAAGGCATTGCCATTTCCAAGGACCAAAAAGGTCGCACTAATTATTATTTTCATCACATTTAATCATTTCTAAAAACCTCTTATCTTGTATCTTGCACGATGGAACGTGCGCCTGAATGACCATTGGACGGTATAAAGCGAATTGTGCTCATCCTTTGGGAGGTGTTCGAGCGCCTGTTGCGCATTTTGCGCTTTTACACCCAATCATATCCCATCGGACCACATTGCAGCCATAGCTGGACCATGCGTCTCCTACAATGCGAAACACCTATCGATACATTTATCTCCGAGTGTTTGAATTATAAAGAGACAAGGTGGTCAGCGCTGATACTCAGGCATTTATTCCCTTCTATCAACCATCGCAAAAGGCGGAAAGGATGAAATTCTTCGTGGCCCTCTCGACACTGGCTCTTGTGACAGCCGCCAGTGCTTGCGGTGACGCCCACGACCATGTTCCTCCCGGCGTTCTTCGTAAAAGACTGTTCCCTCAGGCCCAACTGACGAAGCCTACAAGGCCTCTGGAATGGGGAGACCTGAATATCATTCATACCACGGACACTCATGGCAAGTATCTTCCAAACTGACGCGTTCTTTCTCTGATTACTGACCCCTGCGCTCTTAGGTTGGCTTCTTGGACACCAGCATCTTTCGTTCCCGGAGCCTAACTATAGCGGAGATTTGGGTGATTTTGCGAGTTTCGTGAAACACATGAAGCAGATTGCCATTGTAAGTGTCACTCTAGAGGAACTAGAACTTCTTGTCCAAACTAAATGTTATTCACAGGAAAAAGACGTCGACCTACTCCTCATTGACTCTGGCGATCTTCACGATGGAACCGGTCTATCTGACGGATTCCCTGCTGGTGGAATCGATGCTCACGAAACGAACCAATTCCTCAAACAGCTTCCATATGACATTATGGCTATTGGGAAGTACGAAACATCCCCGCTACTCGAATATTTCAGAATTCTAATGACTCGAATCATCACAGTCACGAACTCTACGACTATATCAACACATGGGATATGCACACTAATTTTGCTCCTGCATTAAACGGCCGTTATCTGTCTTCTAATGCTAATATCACAATTTTCGACGAAAATAACAACACCGTTAGCGTTCCTGTTGGAAACCGTTACCGCAAGTTCACCACTCGCAAAGGCAGGAAGATCACGTCTTTGGGAGTTCTGTTTGATTTTACTGGGAATGACGTAAATACAACTGTTCAAGTTGTAGCAGATATGGTGAAAGAGCAGTGGGTGAGTTGTGTTATCTTACTGCGATAATGATGAATTCTGAATGGTGTGTCACAGTTTACTGAAGCCATTGCTGAGGAACCAGATGTTTTCGTGTTGGCAGGGTGCGTTGTCATACGTTTTCTCCATCTCTTTTACTAATCGATGTGTGTGCAGTCATATGCCTGTCTCTTACGACAATTGGCCAACCGTTTTCAACGCTATTCGTGCTGTGCATAGTGAGACGCCTATCATTATCTTGGGAGGGCATACACACATCCGAGATTGCAGTACGTCGGCATACCCAGAGAGAAGACCTCCATATGATGCTGACTTCTCAATACCTAGACCAACCTGACGGACGCTCAATGGCTCTCGAAAGTGGACGATACATGGAGACCATCGGATGGCTGAGTGCGAAGCTCGGTGATTCTTCAAATTCGAACAACATCACTTTCAGTAGGCGGTACTTGGACCAGAATCGCGTCACCTACGAGGTCAGTTCACCTATGCGCTTCGCTATATGATATGAGGTGACCAAGTTTCTTTCGTAGTATCATACCCAACAACGTAACCATTCATTCGACACTGCTGAAGGCCAAAACATCACTCAGGGCTTACAGGCGCTCTCAGACAAATACGAACTGTCGACCTTGTTCGGTATTGCTCCCCAAGATTATACCATCTCTCGGTACGTATAATTGTCCCGTCGCTCGTTGTACATATTTTAAAACTACATCTCCAGAAACCCATATCCCTCGAACGGCTCATCCCTTTCCTTATTCATCAACAAAGCCGCCCCTTACTCTCTCACTTTCAATAACACCCGAAAAAACACCACCAACCTCATGATAACCAATTCCGGTTCACAGCGTTTTGACCTCTACGCTGGGACCTTTGACAAAAACGACCAGATTGCCGCTAGTCCGTTCCTCGATGCGTTTATGTACATCCCCAACGTGCAATTAGGTACTGCTCAGCAGGTCCTGTCTGCGTTGAACGCTGCTGGGGCAGATGAGAGGAGGAAGCGAGATTTGGGGTCAATATTGCAGCAGAGGGAGGATGAGCTGTGGAAGAGGGGCTATGTTGACCGAAGATATATGAATTGGTTGGATGAGATGGACCGAAGACATGATGGGGCTGTGAAGAGGGCCTCACAAAATTTGACGTTGGGATATGTTACTAGTGATGTGCGTATTCTGTCTGAACTCTCTCACTCAGTATTGTTTTGAGCGAAATCATCCCTTCTAGTCCTGCCCTGGTGTAGGAGATGACACCCTTCATGCTCCCCTCGCGTCATACGATATCCCAGACTTCATCGGTTCCGACGCCCCATCATCGTCCAACGATACTCTCATCGATTTCGTGTTTGTGGATTTCATTCAGGACCAGCTCCTAGAAATCTTGAACGACGTCCAAAATACCACGACGTACACGGATTCGGATGTGGAAAGCTATACTGACGTGTTGTCAAATCAGGTATTGGGCTTGTATGCTCAACATGCGTGGAACTAGTCCCTCTACGTGATTAAAACTACGTCGCTTTGTGCAATTATCCTTATCGAATGCTTATTTATCTAGAACATAAATGGACTGTAGCGGGAAAAGACCACGACGTGCCATTGATCATGTTGAAACAACGCTTTTGCATTCCCCAGGTTTCCAACAAATTCCTGTCGTAGCCATTGTGCTCATTATACTAATTACACCTATCATCTAGCATCGTTGTTATCACGAGCAGACTTTGATTGACGGACAACATTCAGCGTTATTCCGAAGTACAACTGTGAAATACTTAATGGGCGAGGACTTTCTCAAGGACTCGGAACATATAATTACTTCTATTGGCTAATCCGCCACCTGTCAGTATCGTGCGCTCACTGTTTCTTGGCAAAAAATGAATATACACTGTCACTCACCTCTAGAATCAGGAATGCTCACTGCACTGTCTCCTCGGCGCCATATTCCAGCACAAACTTGTGCTGCCACGATCATTCAATGTCATGTCGAACAGATGTCTCTACATCGGGGACGACTTTTCCCGTAGACACGCCCGAAGTTCAAGCAATTGGTAGTCAGAACCGAATGAAGGGATTGGATGCTCGCAAGGCTTCGAAGATCCTATAAAAGCTGGCGAAATCCGCATTGAAAAGCATCAATTCGTTCTTCGTTCTATCTTCAGCTTCTTTCAAGTTTAGGCCAGGTTGCCCTACAAGCCTCTTTCGTTCATTCGTTCACAGTCCTTTACGGAGTTTTTTCTACCTCACGTCGACTACTAGGTATGTGCATTTTCAACGCATACACTAACTCTTTTGCTGATTTCGCTGGAGCAGCTATCTCGCAACCTACTCTTTACTACGAGCCTTACTTTGACAGTCATGTTTGCCAAGATCGCCCTTCCTCTGCTCGCCCTTTCCGCTTTGGCTGGCAATGCTCTCGCTGCCCCCTTCAACCCCAAGACTCAGAGCCTGGGTATGTAAATTTGATTCGTATTCACACAACTAGAAAGTACTTACCTGGATTTTCGTTCAGCTCGCCGTTACACCTCTTTTGATAACTGGGGAGGTCTTTCGTCCTTCTCGGGCTTTGATAACTTCTATGGCGTTGACAACTTCTCCGGAGAAGTCAGCGACCAGGTCGTAGTTGAACAACAAGAGGAGGTTGTCTGTCAGGCTGTGAGCATCGAGGTTGTTCAGCAAAAGCTTCTTGTACTTCAAGAGATGGCCAAACAGTAAGTGTATCTACTTGCCGTTTTTGAGACCGCTCGTCGTAATAATGATCATTAAACAGGATCATGTCTGAGCAGGTCTGCGAAGTTGAGACCCAGACTGTTGGTGAGTGCAACGTATTACTTTCGCTTTTATCGTCATAAACTAACGCTGTTTTGTTCAGTCTTCCAACAATTCCTTTCCTCCTGCAGCCACTTCAGCTCCGATTTGCATCGCACTTCAGGCCATGAAGTCGGGTATGACTCCTCCATCGTCAGTCACTACGGAGACCTTTACAATGCTGACGGATCTCTCTCCACTGTGAGCTTTCTGTACCAACTTATATTGAAATCATCTGACAGTTCATTCTACCAGTATGATCTTGGCTTCTCTGGAAGTGATATTGGCAAGAGCGTGGTGGTTCCCAGTGGAAGTAATTGGAATAGCGCGACTTCCCCAGCCTCAGTTGGTAATGCTTTCAACGCTGCTGTTAGTGCTGCCAGCAGCTCCTAAGCGACCACCATGGCCTCATCGCCTTAGGTTTTTCCGATCAGCCAAGTCGGAAAATTCATTCAGTAATGATTTATTTGAAGGTTTCTTGCATCAATTTCTCTTTCGGGGTATTTATTATGAGTAGTACGGACAGTGTAGTAGCTTAACTCGTTGGTGTAATGGTCACATTTTTGTCGTGGGAATTACGTCCATGGAAGGAGAAAAAACATACTGAATGCTTATAGTAAACATTCAAGAATAACCAACGCTGCATGAGAGTTCATTTCCAGACAGTTTAGTTCACGTCGAAAAGTGATTTTGCCAATGAGATCAGTTTTCTTGCTATGCACTTGCTTTATGCCGTGGACGGAAAGAATTACATTTATTGTTGGGTAGGTCAAAACCTAGCCAGTATAACTTGATTTCCAATGCGGGGAATCGAACCCCGGGCTGCTGTGATCAGGAGCAAATATGAAAGACAGCAATGTTAGCCACTACACCACATTGGATCTAAGTTAACTTTCAAATAAATTGAAATTCTTTATTGACCGGCGCCGGTTAGACTTCGGGGCTTGAGCATATGAATCACAGTCTTCCGTTCCATGATCACCGTATACTGTTTGGCTTCGACTGATTAGAATTAATCCTCGTTTAAGAATAGCTCATCGTCGCCTATATAAAGGATGTCGATTCTCGGCTTAGCATTTGGTCCATCTGGTCTCTCTGATTACTCGGTCGCAGCATCCTGACGATGCACCTTGCCGCCGCTTTGCTGTCAGTGGCGCTTCCACTTGCACTTCGAGTTACAGTCAACGCCTGCAGTGACGAACACGCTCACGACCATAGCCATGCACACCAGAAAAGGCTGTTTCCTCAAACACAGTTGACGAAACCTACAAGGCCTTTGGAGTGGGGAGACTTGAATATCATCCATACCACAGATACGCATGGTAGGCCCAAGCTTCGTTTTTCTTTTCAGTGGACAGGCGGTGGTATTTATGCTTCCATCAATGAAGGCTGGCTTCTTGGACACCAACATACTTCATTCCCAGAGCCCAATTACAGTGGAGATCTCGGCGACTTTGCTAGCTTCGTGCAGCACATGAAGCAGCTTGCTCTTGTGAGTAATGTTCAACATTTACACCAAACCTAGGGTTCATTAAAGCAACAAAACTGCAGGAGAAAGACGTTGATCTGCTTCTTGTCGACTCGGGTGACCTTCATGATGGAACAGGCCTATCTGATGGATTTCCAGCGGGAGGAATCGACGCCCATGATGTCTGTTCCTTTCGTGATTTTTTACCACACATTTCTGACTGTATGTTGTAACTCTTGTAGGCTAATCAATTCATCAAGCAACTTCCATACGACATCATGGCTATTGGAAAGTATGTATAGCCAACACACTTGGATTCTCCGTATCTTACTGCTTTCTACCCCAGCCACGAACTCTACGACTATATCAATACTTGGGACATGTACACTAATTTCGTGCCCGCGTTAGATGGGAAATACCTCTCTTCTAATGTCAACATTACTGTTTTCGACGCTAATAACAACACCATTGACGTTCCCGTTGGCAATCGATTCCGTAAATTTACCACAAGGAAGGGAAGGAAGATCACTTCTTTGGGAGTGCTGTATGATTTCACGGGCAATGACGTGAATACAACGGTTCAAAGTGTGGCCGATATGGTCAAGGAGCAGTGGGTTAGTAACATGAAGCTGATATCATCGATAGAGGCTGACAGGCTCCTTCAGTTCGCAGAAGCAATTGCCGAAGAACCAGATGTATTTTTATTAGTTGGGTACGTTGATCTCGTGGGGCGTCTTTCGTTAGCATGCTCCGTATCTAACGCTGAAATAGACATATGCCTGTCTCACGCGACAATTGGCCCACCGTCTTCAACGCTGTACGTGCCGTGCATGCAGAGACACCCATTATTATTCTGGGTGGACACAGCCATATTCGGGATTGCAGTACGTCCATTAGGTCGTTTATCTCCTTGTCTCAATACTATCTTTTTCTTGTAGACCAGCCTGACGGTCGCTCGATGGCTCTGGAGAGTGGACGGTACATGGAGACTATCGGCTGGCTCAGCGCGAACCTTGGTAGCAGCTCAGACGTCAACACGAAGAACAATATCTCGTTCAGCAGGAGGTATCTAGATCAGAATCGCGTTACTTACGAAGTAAGTACGCGAATTCTTGCACTGCATACTTAATTTATGGTCATTTTGGTTTCTGACTTATTTGATATATAGTATCATTCCCAGCAGAGTAACAACTCTTTCGATACAAAGGAAGGCCAAAACATCACTCAAGGTCTTCTAGACCTTGGGGTAAAATATGATCTTTCAATGTTATTTGGAATTGCTCCGCAGGATTTCACTATCTCTCGGTATGTTCTTCTTCCTTCCTTCCTTTTTAAGCTTCCTCTGAACATCATACATCTCTCCCAGTGATCCCTATCCATCCAATGGCTCCTCCCTCACCCTCTTCATCAATGAAGCCGCCCCTTATTCTCTAACTCTGAACAACACCCGCGCCAATATCTCCAACATCATGATAACCAACTCTGGTTCACAACGTTTCGATATATACTCCGGTACATTCGACAAAAATGACCAGATTTCGGCTAGTCCATTCACCGACGCGTTCATGTTTATCAAGGACCTACCGCTCGGAGTGGCGCAGGAGGTGTTGCCTGCGTTGAATGCAGCTGGCGCTGATGAGAGACGGAAGCGGGATTTGGGGTCGGTGTTGCAAGAGAGAGAGAGCGAGATGTGGAAGAGGGGGTATGTGAACATGAGGTATATGGAATGGTTAGATGAGATGGATCGGAGGCATGATGGTGCTGTCAAGAGAGCTTCGCAGAATCTGACACTTGGATATGTTACGAGCGACGTAAGTGTCTTCTCTTCTCTTCGTTTCAAACCATGGTTTCATTCTGGACTTCAAGTCTTGTCCTGGTGTAGGTGATGACACTGTTCATGCTCCACTCGCATCATTCGACATCCCAGATTTCATTGGCTCCGATACGCCGTCTTTATCAAACGATAGCCTCGTTGATTTAGTCTTCGTGGACTTCATCCAAGAGCAGCTTTTGGAAATTCTCAATGAGGTGCAAAATGCAACGACGTACACAGATTCTGATGTGGCGAGCTACACGGATGTTTTGTCTAATGTCGTGTTGGGCTTGTACGCTCAACATGCTTGGAATTGACTCCCTCGTTATTTCTAGTGGTTACACTGTAAACCTGGTGCCACTTTACGAATAGTAACCTCACCTTGTCAATGCTTGTGAAAGTCTTCGGCTTATACTTTTTCATCCGAAATTCTTGTTTCACTCGAGCAGGCCCAGTCATCGAAATTGTCAGAAGTTGTTGTTGCTGCAGTTTAGAGCTTGGCACCATCATGGACGACGTGAAGCTCCTTGGCCCTAAATCTTCCGTTGGTACTATGTAGTTGCTACCAGCGAGATATACCGACATTACCGACCGATACTTGTTCTCTTTGCACAACTGTGAACCCTTCAAACACATCCTCCCATCTTTCCACGCATTCGTCTGCCAGGCGGAACCTTCAGCCCTATATGGTGCGTCTGGCTATTCTAATCGTGTGGTCGATGATCTTTAAAGGCTGTAAAGCTGAAGTTGACGATTCGCCTTGTTCGAGCATCCAGATGTATGGTTGAGAGATTTCAAGCTGTCAAAAATCGCGACAATTTTACCAGTCATACTGCTACTCTTAGATGTTGTTTCAATCCCCTCGCATTCTCCTGGCCTCATCTTAGAAATCGAGGTGAAAAACCATGCTATTAGCCGAGTGCTTGATATACTACGTTGAATCAATTCAGATGGGCTGTCACCGGTCACCATTGAGGGTCTTGAGGAGGAGCCTTGTTGAGACAAACACTCAACTTATCATCACCCGTCCTCTTTGCCCATCGATAGATTTTCTGTCCCTTCTGCCCGGTATGCATCTGCGCCATAGTCTTTTCATGTCCCTCTAGATCGACATCATGACACAGATACACCTGAATGCTCCTTGTGCGGTCGTATATCATGATCGGAGGCATAAACCCCCAAAGTCCTCTTTGCATTTTGATCAGGAATGGGGCTTGCGAATGCATATTCGGTGGAAGAGCCGGTTCATCGTCACAATGGTCGATTTTCATGTTGTCCCTGGTCGCCCGAGACATGTTGTTCCAAGTCACCGTGGAGATCTTCTCGCCCCTCGCTGCAGCAAGACGCATTTCGGAAGGTTGCACGCTGAAAGTAAATTGAACCCACTCTCCACCCCTTAAAGAATTACAAGTCGGTTTATGTTCCTTCCAATGTATCCGTTGACATTCTGATACATTCAATGTGAAGGGAAAGCTTGTTCAGTTCGAAGCACACCGACAATTTAAACTGGTAGCTTACCGACTCCGCAATATTCCATAGAAAGACACCGAGAACACTTGCTTACCGTCTTCTTCCCGCAAACCACACAACCTGTATGATGGGTCAATTTCCCAATATCCTTTTGATTGATCGGTCCCAGAGGAAGTAGGAACGATAAGGCAAAAGTAGCCTCCGATCCACTTGAAGTTCTTTTGACGGAGTAAGCTGGAGAAAGTCGTCGAGCATTCATGTTGAGGACAGCGATAAGAAATTTCTGTTCTTCAGGAGTGGCTGTAACCTTAAGCAAGGTCGATTGCTCGTTCGACATGAGCTCTTGGGCCCACTGAATCGTTTCGAAAGCAGGAGCATTCCGAGTTCCACGGCGGCATAGGACAACCATGACAGGAGTTTCCTCATTCAACATACGAACTTCGACAACCTAGAATATGAAGCAAGTAAATGCAATGAACGAGAAAGGGGTAGCATAGAAGGGTAGCGCACACGAATACATATAGCACACTTGGTATCTTTGTCTTGGATCAGGGCTGTGTTCACACCGTTGTCAATACCATCAGCAAGCCCCATGATAGTTTGACGAGCATCCATGAAGGTATTTTCGAAGAGGGGCCAGGCACTCTCTTTCCCTTCCCTTCTCGCGCGAATATTGGCAAACGCTTCCTCGAAATTACCTCGTGACACAGTCTTCAGCAAAGTGGTCTTGCAAGTTGTCTTTGACCATGGAGGGAGGATCGAAGGATCGAAGGGTGGCTTCGCATTGAGAGTGGCGAATGATTGAGAAGCATCTATTGCGCTACGGAACTTTTTCTCTATGGCATCATCCGGAAGACGAGTGGTAAGCGGCAGGTCTACGCCCATGCTATAGAGGTATTGCAGCTTTTCCTCTCTCGTAATGTCGACTGCTATGACCTTGGCACTCTTGGATTGAGCTTGACGTTTCATATCTTCCACGGCGAGTGCTGGCCAGTCAAAACAAGTCGAGCAGTCCAATATATGGTGTTCTTTGCATTCATATTCGGGCTCTTTTCCTGAAGCTCGAGCCACTGCTTTGTCGAAAACATATGAGATTGGTTGTCGGTCCTGAATATATACTAGTAAGCATG